TATCCTGAACGACATTTAGAAAAGCGGCATCCATTAGCATTTATGCCATTTGGTGTAGGTCCGAGAAATTGTGTCGGAATGAAGTTCGCTCTGATTGAAATGAAAATTGTTTTAACACGATTATTAAAACAATATACGATCCTTAAATGTGATAAACTCGAAAATTTTACAATTATAGAAAAATCTGTAATTACACCCAATGAAGTTTGGATTAAATTAGAAAAACGATTTTGACAGGAAAAGAATATCATTTATTTCGTCGTTATTCAATTTCCTTTTGCTTTGGAGAATAAATAAAAAACAAATAATTGTCTTTGCCTCTTGACTTGTCAAAATAAAAAAGAAAATGGTTGGTTATTTCAAGCTTAAAAATAACTCATAGAAAAGTATGCATGCACCAGTACAATATGTTGGGTTCTGATAATACTGGGTTTCACAGTATTATTGCTTATTGTGTCGCTTCAGTTCAGCTTTCTTTTACAGTACAGACGCATGTTCTATATCCCGTTTTGAATCAAAATATAACTCAATCAGGGATGCACCGATTAATAATCGATGTTAGGGCATTCAGCAAAGTTGTTCCGCATCATTTATAAAATCGCAGAAAAATACTCGATAGTGGATTATTTTTTCACAATTTTGCTCACTTCTGGATGCTTATATTTCTGTCACAGATAACACTAAAATTTCTTCCTGCACTTCAGTTTGGTAGGGCAAACATTTTTCTAAAAAATTCGACAGCTCTAAGTGCTTTTTTTATAACTGATGCGTGACGATCTTGCTGAATGCCCTAACATTGATTATTAATCAGTGCATGCCTAATCCCGATCGCGATACATTCTTATATCCCAGTTGGCATATATAGCTTGATGGGATATATCCTAATTGGGATATGATTCCTCACGTTTTTACGAATATAAATGATATTAAGATTAACAGTAGGAATCCAGTGTATTGAGGGACTCAATATTATTGGAATCCAATATATTGGATGACCAATATTATTGGTTCCAAAATATTGGGTATACAATAATATTTGGACCCAATATAATTTGATACCCAGTAAAATTGTACAGTATCTTCAATAATGATTGATATTGGTGCATGTCTATAGAAAAGAGACAATAATGAATTAAAAGTATTTTTCTATCATACAGTGAAGTGGTAGATATGCTATCACAAATAATAAGTTTAACTTATAAATTCCACGCATAAGTTTACTAGAATAATTTTAATATCAAACATGTTACAAACAAGCAGATCAATCGGAACCTCGACTTCCAAATTCAATCTTCCTGCTGAATTAGCAGAGATACGCTGACTAACAGCACAGGAATTCACGATCAATTGCAAGGTTTAATACAAAATTTATTGAAAAATAAAATGATAGTGATTTCAATGATACTAAATCTTTATTTTTCTCTTGGTTTTGAAAGACCCCTGGATAACCTGTTACCACGAAATGTTTAACGATACCCCACAGGCATGGTTCTAAAAGCAAATATTCCAGTCGAGAAGTTCGAGAAAAATCAAAGTTCTCCAAAAAGACACCTAAAGGACACGTCAATCGATTCAGTTATGAGTGCTGATTCCAAAAATGGCACTGCTTTTGCAAAAGCAATGAAAGTTTGACGCTGAAAGCTGCTAAATACGGCTGCATTTCCTAGTTTTTTGTTACCTGTTTCAAAAAAATGAATTTTCTCAACAAGAAAACAATATTTTCCAAAACTGATGCTTAACGTTTTCCGCTTCCGAGGCACCACGATATAAGTAACTTGCCCCAGGTTATTACATGATTTTGCTAGTGCTAATGTTCGAACACAATATGAGAACAAATTGGATCTGAGTGCTCTAAAATTAGAAATACTAGCAGCGACCCACACAAATCCGATGCAGTCGATATAAATGCTGGTCGGTTTTATATGAAATCAGCCTATCTGTCGATGCCGAAAGCATCGCTCGCCAGTAGTATTTCTAGTGTTAGGACACCCAGATCCAATTTGTTCTCAACATTTTATATATTACTTTGTAGCCTCAGAAAGTTTCTATTGAATGATATATAAAGTGGAGTGGTTAGAAAATATCGATAATACCAAGCGAAATACTTTACCATATCTCTTGGATAATACTAAACCACCTGCTTATGAAATTCTGAATATTCCAACACATTCGTCCATCTATTCTCATTATGAAAATAAACGATTAATAGAAAAAGTGACAACATCTGGTCACTGGTTTTATAGTATTCGCGTCTCAAATGCACCACCAGGATTCGTGATGACTCAATTGAATGAAACGTACTCAATGTTACCTATTCACCAGTACTGTGATAAGGATAGATATATTGATATTACAAGAGTTAATAAACAATTCAATAAAATACTATATCAAGTGATCCGGTCTCATAAATTAAATCGAAACGGCCTTCGAGGTCTACTTGGACGAATTCATTATGTCGCCATCGAATGTTGTTACACTTGATTGGAATGAACACCTTCCTAAAAGTCTTTAAGTTGATATCGATTTTGTTCCAGGTATCCGGATACTTAATTTTGATCTTCCAAAGCTAAAGTGTTTCCCTACCAACATCTTGTTACCCACTGACGATTGTCATGTTGTATTGAAAAGATTTCATCCATTATCGAGTGTTATCAATGAATATTCTACAACAGCAAAATATCTTCGATTAGGTTTTTCCGTATTACAAACATTTGCATTTAACAAAATTCCTAAATGCGTTCTATATGGTTACGTGTTGGCGAAAAATATCTTTTTTAAAAAATTATTTGAATGAGCAGTTGGAAATAAAGTTTTAAATATAAAGTATAATACTGCTATGAAAATCATAATAAAATTCTTCTGAATTTATTTAAACACTCGAGCTTTCGATCACAACTTAGATCATT